ACTCACTTGTGGAGAACGTGATAGGAAGATTGAGACCTCTTGCTTCAATCCTCATGCACTCAGTGAGAAAACGCACAGGCATAGACTTCTCTACAAACCACGCTCTCTGGACGTGGGCACACAGGCATGCAGCTTGGTTGATGAACAGATATGGTGTTGTGCGCAATGTGACACCATTTGAGCTTGTCCACAAGAAGCACTACACAGGATCCATTGCTCAGTTTGCAGAGCCGGTTTTTGGGTATTTTCGTGTTGGTGCAAAGGGGACGGCAAAGTGGCGCAGAGCCCTGTTTTTGGGGAAAGTGGATGGCCAAGATAGCTTTCTCCTCTACTCTGGAAGCCATTTGGTGTTGACACGCAGCATCAGAAGAATTGACACTGACTGGAAGGGGCATGTAGCGTTTTACTCAGCTTTCAAGTGCAACAGCTGGGAATACAAGTCTGGATTTGGTGGGCGTGTGGTGCCTACCAAAATCAAGTGTGAGGCACTTTCAGTGGGATTTCATCCTCCTCGAGGTGAAATTGAACCAAGTGCATTTCATGATGCAGATGCCGAAGCAGTGCGTGAGAAAGCAAGAGAGGAGCTGAGAGAAGAATCAGAAAGAGTTGAAATGGGTGCACATGATGATCGACATGAACTTCCTGCGGTGGAAGATGATGCACCACCGGAAGTTAGCTTTGGTGATGCAGATGCAGTTCAACATGATGATGAAACAGTGGAGGTTGGAGATGATGTGGGAGCCGACACAGGAGGAGTTCCTGCGCCTTCTCTTGGTGTTGCAGGCAGTGAAGCCCCAGTCACTCCAATTTTTGAGGATGAAGGACCCATGGAAGTTGCATATGTTCCACAGACACCACGTGCTTCTCCAACAACACGTGCACATGGTGATGAAGATGTTGATATCGAAGAGCATCAAGCAAAACGTGCCAGGGGTGATGATCCCAAGCGCTCAAGACTCCAGAGAATCACTCAGGAGTATGCTTCAAGAATCAGCACTGTGGAATCTGTGGAATTTGGCAATGAGAAGTTCCACACCATGGACAACTATGAGAACGACCAAGACATGGAGCAACAAGATGACTCAGCCGATTTGTGGGCTGATGAAGACTCTTTGCACTTCAAGGATGTCCCAGAAGATCTTTGGAGTGATTACAACATGGAGCGTCAACCTGACGAACCACCAGAATGGGTTGACATGCTTGCAAACGAAGTTGAGATTTCACGCTTGGTAAACATGGAGGTTTTGATCAAGGAGGAGCTTTTCCAGAATGAAGTTCGAGACTCCTTGACAACGAAGTTTGTGCATGACTGGCGTGCCAAGGATTACACCTTGGATGATGGAAGTGTAACCAAAAGGTGGCTTCGACGTAGCCGCTTGGTGGCCAGAGAGTATGCTTTCATGGAACGCAGGGACGATTGCTTTAGTCCTGCGACATCAACTCATGTGATGAACCTTTTGCCAATGGTTTACTTGCAACGATGTTCTGAACGACGTGGCTGTGAAAACCATGCAGCAGAACATGTTTTGGCAACAGTTGACATCAAGGATGCTTTTCTATGTGTACCACAAGCAAAGCCCTTTGCAGTGACACTGGCAGGCAGAAAGTACATCATAGTCAAGAACCTCCCAGGCCAACGTCTTGGTGCAAAAGCATGGTACTGGTTTTTGAGAGATTTCCTTTCGAAAACGTTTGGCTATGAGTGGTGCACAGAGCAACCATGTCTTTGCCGAAATGAACACTCAGCGTTGATGTTGCATGTGGATGATGTTTTGTTTGTAGGAAAGCGCAAATTTTGGGAAGAACAGTTTTTGCCAAAGTTGAAGGAACAGTTCAGCGTTAGTGCATCAGTTTTGGAAGAAGAAGGGAGCTCAATTTCTTTCTTGAAACGGAAGCTGGTGAAGGTTAACCATGGTTTAGCTCTGGTTCCAGGAACCAACATCGACAAGTTGGTGGAAAACTTTGAAAGTTACTTTGGTCAAGTGCGTGTCCAGCATGTGGCATGTGACTCTTCCATACAACTCCCTGATGTGTCTTCAAACTTGACTTCCCGTGATGCCTATGCCTATAGATCTGCAGTTGGAGGTTTGCTTTACTTAGAAAGGGACAGACCGGATCTCTTGTTTTGTGTCAAAGAGTTGTCAGCAAAGATGGCTCAACCAACTGTGACGGCGTTGCAAAGGCTCAAGAAAGTCATGGGGTATGTCAAGGGAACAGCATCCTATGCAGTGGTCATCGCAGAACCTGAAGGTGGCCAGGGAAAATGGAAAAACACCAATGAGTCGTTTTGGGTGCTGGAGAGTGCAAGTGATTCAGATTGGAGTTCAAACAAGGAACACAGGAAGAGTACAAGCGCTGGCATCCATTTGATCAACGGGTTTTACATGTTCGGTTCTTCAAGGACGCAGAGAACTGTAAGCCTCTCATCCTGCGAGGCTGAGCTACATGGCATGGTAAGCGCTTTGGCAGATGGTATCTACATCAGACGTTGTCTTTCATTTCTGACTGGAGCTGATGTTTCTCATTACCTGCTGACAGACAGTTCCTCAGCCAGACAACTGGCATCCAAACAAGGTGTAGGAAAAGTCCGACATCTTGATGGCAAGATACTCTGGATACAACAACATGTTTTGTCAGGTGATGTCTTTTTGCAGCAGCTACCGACAGCATGGAATGTGGCTGACCTTTGCACGAAGGCGCTTCCTCAACAAAGGGTTAAAGTTTTGCTTCACGAGCTTGGAGTGTGTAGGGACAATGGTTTGACAATCATTGGACAGCATGAACATGATGAACAAGTTGAAAAGCATGGCTCAAGAAGGCAAATCATGCAGCTGGCAAAGAGTTTGATGCGCGTTGCTACTGTAATGGGCCTTGGGTCAAATGGTGCAAACGGGCAATTTCTTCCGGACGAGCTGGAAGGATCAACATGTGACATTGGTTCTCTCCGAGACCAGTGTGATGCTACAACAGCAACAACAGCGACGATGGTAGAATCCAACATACTCAACTATGTCTGCATTTTTCTGGTTTTGACCACGTGGGTCATTTTTGGATGTGCAGGTTACTGGTTGTATCGAAAGTGGAAACATGGAATGACAGTCATGGAAAGAGAGCAATATCATTTGGGCGTTCAGGTTGCAGAACTTGATACAGCTTATACTGACTATAGTGGACGGCTGATTTCAGCAGAGTTCGGTCTTGGTGAGACTGCCCGAGACTTAGAGTTTCTCCAGGACTATGCAAGTAGCATCCACTATGGGTTGGTTGAAGTTGGAGGGTTCCGAAGGTACAACGAACTCACTGCGGACCCGAACAGGCATATGTATGCAACTGAGCGGGCAAACTTGACTTCATTTCATGTGATGGGCGGTGATAGATACATGAGATTGGTAAACCAGCATTCAACTGGGATTCATGCAGCAGTTGACACCACAGATCAAGGAGAACAAGAACAAGGAGAAGAATCAGAGATGGAAGTGGATGATGCAATTGACGTCCACACCAGAGAACATGTTGTGAACAGACTCCGAAATCTACTCAATGAATGTTTGGCGTTGCATGAACACTCAGATGCGGCAGCAGTTCAACAGCTGGTACTCATGGCGCTGGACAGAGGAGCACCAGGAACTCCTTTGACTCCAGAGCAACTTGAGAGACTTCTCATGGATATCACTGAAGGCCTAGATACAAGATTCAGAAGGAGCAACAATCATTCCAGATCACGCACAGCGAGACTTTTCGCTAGCTATGTGGAGGAATTTGAAGTACAGCTCGGAATCAGATTCGGACCATAGAAGAGAAAGACCAATTTCGAAAGATTTGCATGACAGTTTTTCACTGAAGGTGGAGCTGATGGAAAGAATTTAGAAAAGTTTGGATGAGGTCACAGCAAAAATTTGCTGTGGGCTGGTCGAAAACAACAGGAGAAATTTCCAAGCTGAAGCTCAGAAAATTTAGGAGGAGCGCGAACGTTTTGACTCAGCACTCATCCCTGTCAGGTACTCCAATTTGAGCACATGAAAACCATGTGAACTCATCACAGTTTCAGACTTGGAATCCATAGGCCCTGAGGCTCAAAAGACCGCTCCATCTTTCTTCGCAATATCATAGGACTATTTTGGGAGTAGAGTATGATTTTATACGCCAGTTTTGATCCATTTGATCCAGCCAACGCAATTCGAGAGGCCAAAAAATGGCTGTGGCGCAGAACTACCACCATCTCAATTTCAATCATATGACTACAGTAGTCCCTCCTTGAATACTCTATTTTTTCAATGTGCTCTGTTTGGACGCTACTCTATGTGAATTCTGCCCTGCGCATCTCTCGAGGAAAGTTGATCGCAGTTACAGATATGCTAGCGCTCAGTTTGAACATCTCTTTGTGAACCTCTCCATGTGAACTGAATTTCCGGCAAGTAAGACCATCTTGCAATGCTACTTGACAATTTTATCATCGATGATTGATTCTCAATAGCAAAAAATGAAGTCCGAAGTGAGACTTCTTTTTGTACAGTGGTAGCACTCTTTTTAGTTTTCCCCTTGTCCATAGGTTCCTTCGTTTCTGTATGCACCTTGTTCACACAGCAGGGTTTAGGGCCAACGGTGGCGTGCGTACAGCAAAGGTGGCTTGGGCAGCAAAAAAATAGGACTATTTATACCATACTTATTACAGTCAATTTTTTTTGCACATATTACCAACGCAGCCATATATGGTGGTCATATATGTGCCCATATGAGGATATAATATCTTGTCCCAAAAAGCGTGTAATGCAGTATAGTCAAAAAATAGTGAAATAAAACAATATACATATGATATGGACACAAATAGCAACGGCCAATAAAATCGAAACGCATAAAATCCGACTTGAATAGCGGTCAATTTCACCTTTTCCATTTTTTTTGGGGGTAACTATCTATATCTATATCATATTTTCTATCCCATTTGACTATCCCTCTGCCCCGTTTTTCAGTCCAGCTGTCACCATGGTTTAGTCCTCTCAGGGATGTGGAGCTGCGGCGCTGAGGGCCCAGAGGCAATCTTCACCACTTGTGTTCTGTAGACATACATATGCAGTGTATAAATATACATATTTCACGTATGCATATGGGAAAACCACGTATAGTTACTATAGTGTATATATATATGATATATGATATATGATATATGATATATGATATATGATATATGATATATGATATATGATATATGTACACATTTTATGGTATTCACATACATATCCATAAACCATACATTAACAGTGTTTATATATACATTTGTGTGATAAGATATTATTTTATGTAAATGAAATGTGCACATATTATACTACAAGTGTATGTGTATGACATAGACTCCAAACCATAATTTTGGTTGCCAGATGAGGGCACCTCTCTCTCTCTCTCTCGCTCTGTTTTCATGGTGGAGTGAATCCGAGTGAATCCTATCAATTTGAACCAACGTCATGATGGGTGCATGGTGTTGAAAGGATCCATAAGCACAGAAGTTTCCTTCCCAGTCGTTCAGGAGACTCATCACGCCACCGGTTGGCAGCTGAGTTGACATGACTGGTGAGTGCTTGGAGGTTTTTCAATGGCAAACCCTAAAATCCATGGGTTTTTGGCGCCCCAAACAGGTTTTTCATGGCGCCTGAAATCATGCAAATCATGGTCGCCCCATTTCCACTGATGCCACCAGGTGAAGTCAGTGAGCTGGACCGACAACGTGCTGCGGTGGCCAACCGCGAGGCGAGTTGGGGGCGAGTTGGAACGGTAAAAAAACCCGGTCGAAACGGTGGAAATGGTCCAGATTTTTTTGGGGATGACTGACCATGATGACTTTGTTTTTTTTTTTTTTTCGGGGATTCTTTGCTGTCTGAAAAGTCGTAACTTTGTTGAGGATTTGTTGGCCCATGTGGCAGTTGGTTTTTTTTGGTTTGTGTCTGAAAAGTCGCCATTTTTCAGTGGTGACGGAGGTTGCCCAATCACCCAATCACCAGACGATTTGGCCGAACCACACTGAATTCTGATACGGTCAATTGAGTCATATTATGTCATATTTGGGATTCTTTGGGTATGGGTCAAAAGTCAGTACCCCACAAAAACTTGGATGATCAACCACAAAAACTCTGTGGTGAAGAGCCTTAAAGACCGGGAAGCCGAACCGCGCTGAGGCTCATAGCTGGAAGAGGAACTTGGCTGCGCACTCAGTGGCTGACCATTTTTGAACAGCCCTGCGCAACTATCATAGAATTGGATGATGGGAAAAATTACAGGAAAGATTCCCATCATCCATGGTAAAACCACTATATTTGATGGTAAAAACCACTATATTTGATGGTCAAAACCCATGGGTTTCCGGTTAAGATTCTCCCTTACACCAATCCTGCATGAAACTACCAGTGAATCTCAGGTCCTGGGCATATGCTTTGTAGGCAGGACTGCCTTGGCGAAGCGTTTTGGTTCAGTGGACAAAACAACTCTGCGAATGGAAATCCAGAAACGGCCTGTTTTCTAGTACAGTACCCTCTGGTAATTTAACGTAGCTATTGAAAATGACAATTTTTCATGGGAAAATCCACTATAAAGGGCCATTTTCAATAGCTATGTTAGTTTACCAGAGGGTAACTACTGTATCCCAAAGTAATTCTGTGATTATTGGCTTTACCAGAGATGATTGCTGAAACTTTCTCGCCAGTCATGTGGCACAGCTGTGCCGACAAAGGCGTCACGGTGGAATCCACCTACACTGGTATTCAGGTCCAGCCGGGGACGGTGCGAAGATCTTCAACCATAAAATGAGGATGTATCATGATGTATCCTCCAAAAAATGATTGAAAAATGCCAGCCATATCCAGAATGAGACAGAAAAATATCGTTCAGCAGAAATAGCATGCTTAAACTGTCAGTTACCAAACACTTACTGGGTTTGTCTGAAAAATTAAGGCACTTACTCCCACATTTTGATCACGCCACGGAAGCCGCCGAGGGGTATCCCGTTTCGGATCGTTTCGGCGTTTCGACCAGGTCCTGTCCACCGAAGAGGAAACTGCACTGGAAGCCTTGTGCTTTACCCTGGTGGTTGCCTGCATGAACGCTGAACCTTGGTGGCCTTGGTGACCAACTTTGGCCATTTTGACGGAGGCATGACCTGCGATGAGATGATACCAAGAACCGCACAGTTTGGGCAATTTCCCATGTGCTGGTGGTTGATTTGGTGATATTGCATGGCTAGCATTTTCTGGCTAGCAACCCACTTGTGAGTAGCACAAGGTGGTGCCCCCAACAGTTATGAGTTGGTTAAAAAACACCCGTCTATAGTTATGACATGTTATGACCATGGACCAGACAACTGAGTCATTAGCCGACTTGGTCAACTATGGGGCACCACAGAAAGCAGCGACCATAGGAATTTCTGGTGATGAAATACCTCGTGGAGCGTCTGACAGAAGAGGAGGGCGTGCTATTGCCAGGAGTGCACGAGCACAGGCAACGTGTCGGGGTGGGTGTCTCCCATGACCAAGGTTAGGTGGGTGTGAAAATGTGGTGGATTTGAGAATGAAAGATGGGGATTTTGGAATCATATCTGGAAATAGATGCCAAACAATTCAATGTTCGAATGTTTGGTACTTGTACTGAATAGAACAGTATTTGTTTTGGTTAGGGTCTTAGGTTTTTCATTCACCCCATCCATACAGTATCAGCAAGTAGCTGGTACATGCTTGTGGGACTTTGAGATGTGGAATGACTGCCAATAGCTTGGAATCATTGCATAATAGCAGCTTGTGGAGTGCCTTTGTGGTCAAAGAGATGACATTTCAATCTAAGATGGAACCTCCCTGTGGTGGGTGATAAATTTAAATTAATGAAGGCAATGTCTTCTCAAAGCTGTTTCGATCAACTTGCATTGCCAGGCTCTACTACCAGAAGGTTGCACAGTGTCATGGCAGGCACAGGAAGTGCTCTGAAGTTGCAAATCTTGTCCCTTTCATGTTGTTTGTTGCTGCCTCTGAAACTCGAAATACCGGTACCAGATCTACCGGTAGTCACTGACTCGACCTTCTGGTAGACATGGCAATGCAAATTCACCATTAGTACATGATTCATGTCTTGATTCTAGGGGGTTTCTATCCGTTTCTATTGTCTCAGCGCAATCTGAGGATAGCCTTCTGCAAGATCTGCCGAGAACGCATTGGGACTCGAACAGGAGGGCCCGAGGGCTTCATGTGTGCCTGAGCCTGACTGATGCTCTCAGAGGAACTTGTTGTATCATGAATCCTCAGAACAAGTGTGGATTAATGTGGATTAACTGGCACAGCAAAAACGCGAGTCTGTTTTGATAGTTGACTAGATCACTTCGCAGAATTATTTAGCATTATCAGTAATTTTCAGCTTGGTTGATCTATGTATTCGTCTCTATAGCTATTCATCCGGTTGTTCATTATTCTTTTGCCAAGTTGGTCCTGGATCGCGGGTCCCAAAAGCGAAGATCGAGTGACAGCGAGGCAAGGAATGCGATGGTGGCGGTAGAGGATCAGGCTTTTGGGTCTGCCTGTTGTGTTACAGAAAGAGCCAGAACAGCAACACGCAGGACAGAACTGGCTTTTTGGGTGACTGACTGTGGGAGCGTTGGAGCTACCAAGAGTTTCCCAACCACTGTGGTGAGAGCTACAAGTGGATATTTATGAACATATATCGGTCATTTAATAGTGATTTGTGATCCAAAAGGATAAATCAGCGATCGGAATTTGATGAAGATTTGCACTGGAGATTTTAATGGGTAAAGAATAGGGTAGACATGGACCCAGGTATTTCTTTTCTTTATACAGAAATCATTCAAAACCCATGGCGTCCAATGATTTTTACCCATGGCGTCCGTCGCCGTGAGGAAGGTATTCTACGTGGGGACAAAGGGCCGAAATATGCACCTTAGCTCGGTGCTGTGATGATCATTCCATGTTTCAAAAACCAATCCTTCCAGCACTTGGAGCTGTGATGCAAACTTGGGGGTTTCCACCACTGTGCTCGTTTCGTTGAGGTTTATACTTCCATTTTCTGTGGGAATCTATGACTACGGATGACTTACTGACTTACCTAACCAATGCGTTGCACATTCACTGATGTGCCCCGGTTGTTGTTCGCTGAAACCTCCACAAACCAACCGCTACGAGGGAATTCTGTGGAATCCTTATGTTTGTTTCCCACTCTTTCTTGCTTTCATGCAACACATTTGCGTTTGTTTTGGGTCCCCAAATTGAAAAGAAGCGCTTCGAGCACCACCTGGGCCTTCCGTTTGTCACACCACAACTGCGTAAGGCCTTGTTTGGTAGATTCCAAATGGATTTGCAAGTTATTTCTCATAGATGGATGGAATTTCAAGGGTTTTTTTAGCCATGATGGATATTTTTTGCAACACCAGGACAAAAGTTTTTCCTCTGGACTAGTTGATTTTTAACAGGTTTTATATGAATTACCTTGCAGATTGCGGATCAGCTGTTTTGCTCTAAACTAGTTTTAACTTATTCCAACTGGAAATACGATCTGCCACGCAGGCCATGCGAAATGAGGGTACTTGATCCGCGGCCCAGGGTCCGTATGTTTATAAGACGCTAAACGAGAAAACCATTCTTCCGCCTGCTGAAAGTTCTAGCCATCCAAACGAAACCGAGTGACACCCCCTGGTCGAAACTTTGCAGGGTAACCGCATTAGGTCCAAGAGCTAACGTCATGGCAGTACTTCTGGCGAGCCATTGAGCTCTGCCGCCCCTTCCGGCGCGTCTTGCAGTGCCACGGCTGATACGGATGGGCAAACAGAAAACTGATCTTGGCCGCATGATTGGTTCAGAAAATGAAGAGTTATGTATATGGGGATGGGTCAAAACCTATTGTTACATATTGTTACCGTATTTGGGGAAACATCCATAAACCAGCTATGACTTTGGGTACAAACGGCGCCTTGGTGAGGTGTGCGGTGCTCTGCACCTGCATCACTCAGCTGGGCCGAATCTTGCTGCCCAACTACCAGGGGAGTATCATCAATGACCTGATTGCTGGGAACAAGCAGGCCGGTTCGGATGCTGGTGAAACCACCAACACTTGAAGGGTTTCTATGGCGAAATGACAAGGGCCTCAAAAAAAACTGCTTCTCTGTGTGGAAATGACCATGGCCTTTTATGGCCTTGAAACTGCTTCTATTTGTACCCCGTAAACGATGTAGCTTGCCAACTAGCCCATATTAGTTGACATCAACTAGCTCACAAAAATACCCAAGTTGGCGTCGAAGTGCCTGTGGAACATATGATTATGACTAATTATTCATGAGTTGGGGGCCCAGAAAAAGGGTGAATTCAATATGAATGGGATGGAATTACGATTTTTGCTGATCAAATGGCAATTTTTGCTGGTTAAACACCACTTTTGATGATTCAATCCTGATTTGTGCTGGTTAAATCCCAATGTTTGCTGGTTAAAAAATCACCAATTCTGTCTGTTAAATCGCATCTTTTTGGGTTAAACGAATATGTTCTTGATGGTGAAATCCATGTTATTGATGGTCATTTCCATATTTTTGACGGTTGGTCCTCCGTCTGTTATAGTATTGTATCCCTGGAATTCTTTTTTGATGAAAAAAAAGCCGGTGAAGCCCTAATTTTTTGGACCCGGATCATGGCTGTGGCCCTGGTAACGCCAGGGTTTCGAGCGCCTACTGTGCCTTGGTGAAATGGTGAAAATTGACGGTGAGTCCCACAGGATTCCAGGGGTGTATATATACATTATATATATAAACATACATGCATACCTGCATACCTGCATACATGCATCCATGCATCCATGCATCCATGCATCCATGCATCCATGCATCCATGCATCCATGCATCCATGCATCCATGCATCCATCCATCCATCCATCCATCCATCCATCCATCCATCCTTCCTGCATACAGACAGACAGACATACAGACAGACAGACAGACAGGCAGGCAGGCAGACAGGCAGGCAGACAGGCAGGCAGGCAGATAGGCAGGCAGACAGACATACATACATACCTACACATACCTACACATACCTACACATACCTACACATACCTACACATACCTACACATACCTACACATACCTACACATACCTACACATACCTACACATACCTACACATACCTACACATACCTACACATACCTACACATACCTACACATACATACATACATACATACATACATACATACATACATACATACATACATACATACATACATACATACATACATACTGCGAAGGGGAACGAGATAACACAGTAGTCACACATGCTGAGCATGTGCACATTCTTGCATGGGACGCCATTTTGGCTCAAGACCCACTGCGAGGCCAAAATAACGCGCTCCGCTGCTGCATGGTTTGACAGCTCTGACTATCAGCACATAGGGAACTACAACCGAAGGATATCCAGAACAAGGATCAATTTGTTCACAGGTTATCAGCCGTAGGGCTCACTTCTCCCGCCGGGAGAGTGGTACCTGCGTGCTGGTAGCCGGGCCGTCTGAGCAATTGATTGAGGACGCAAAGGACCAATCAGCTCATCATCGCAAAGATGCAAGGCGGCAGCGGAGATTCGCGCACCACGCAGTTTACCTTCAATGAGAACGCTGCTATGCCGGTCGAGGAGGTCAATCAATCTTCCCCTGGCGACACGGCAGACAGTGGCGGGATACGCTCTACCCGAACTACACAGTCCGGATGGCAAGTCACATCAAACAGACGAAGAATATCCACCCAAAGTACACCTAGATCTTCTCGAAACAGTGCTCGGAGTGATGTTGTCCGCCAAGGGCATCGACCATCTCGAGGACGTACTACTCCAAGGGACAGATCCACCAGGGCCGTGACCGACCGAATTGGTGAGAGGACCGGGGATAGTCGTGTTAAGAGGAGATCAACGGATACTTCTGTGGCTAGTGAACCTATTGCCATGATAGAGGAACTACGGGCACAATGTCAATCCCTACGTAATCAGCTGAACAACATGGAAGCATACGCTGCATCCAGGGATCAACTGATTCATGACATCGAGATCAGATTCACTGAGTATCTTCGGGAACACAATCAGAATGTATTTGATGAGGTCAATGCACTCAATCATAGATTGTCATGTTCCGCAAATGAGGTTGCAGAATATCAAGCAGAACTAATGGTAGCATCTCAGGAAGACGAAGGTGCAACAATACGCATCCAAGACCTTGAACGCCGAGGTGCCCTAATGGAACATGGTGCACGACGGATCCATCAACGTGGTATGGAGATCCAGGAGGAGTACAAGGATGAAGTACATCACCTTCAAGGACTACTGGGGAATACGGAGGCAAGACTACAACAACTTCATCAAACCAATGTCTTAACCACCGATATTGCCAATCGACTATACAATGAGGGTCAAGAAATGCAAAATGATTTCCAGAACTCAATCATGGAATATCGTAATCGATCTGAAATGGCATCCTTCTCTAGTAATCAACTTGAAGTGATTAGCCAACAACAATCAATTGCAGTTCATGAATTATCTGAGCGAAATCAGCTATTGAGTGAAGCTTTGGTTCAGTCTCGTAAACAGGCCGAGCTGTATGAGAGCAGTATTGATGAGATCACTAGAGAATCTAGGAAGAAGGTGTTCGAGGCAAATCAGGCCAAATTGGAAAGTGATCTGAAGCATCGAAACACTGAACATGATACCGTCAGAAGAATTGCATCATACAGGAACCAAGAGGCCGAAGCAATATCTCACCTGAGGCTTGAATCACAGGCTAGTGCAAACTCGATCGCAAGGGCAGAGCACTATGAGGAGCTCTATGCCAACGAGCAGAAGATGAACTGCGAATTGAAGGATGAGATCAAGTTGCAGAACACGAAGTTACGAAGATCGTTGACTCAGGGTTCTACGACCGACGGTCGTGGCCCCGAAGAGATGCTTGTTGAAGATCTACGTAATCAAGCTAAGATCGCTCAAATCAGGGTTCAGGATCTAGATCATGAAGTTCATGAATGTTTACAAGAGAACTTGTTGTTAAAAGAAAGGTTGGCTGAAGTTGCGGATGTAGGGGCGTCGTCCCTCACCAATGCTGAGGTCCGAACTCTAAGATCTGAACTAGAGAGTGAGCGAAAATTGAAATTGGCGAGTGGTGTTCAACAATATGAGAGATCATGCATGTTCATGGGGGAAATCCAGGATAGGGATGAAAAGATTGGCATCAAGAATTCTGAGATTGTTGACATGAAACGTCACTTAGATGAACTGAGAAAAAGTCTCAAGGATTCTGAAACATCTATGGCTAGGATCAGTCCTGACACACTTCCCTATTCGGCAGGCATTCCCAACTCCGATCTCGCGTCCAGACTGGTCATCGACAAACTGGGGAATGACGTGAGTGAGGCTAACTGTGAAAACGCTATTCTGAAATCTTGGGTTTCGCAGATCGACAAGGAGTTGACTTATGAGACAAATGTGGCTCATTCCTATCGTGGGCATGCTGTACCTCCTCAACAACAACAGCATTCTCAATCAAGCAAAAGAATCGCTGATCTGCTGAAAGAGGTTGACAACAAGATCGCTGGCGGAACTGAGAGGGACTATTACAAGCCACCGAGTGGATGGGGCGGTCCGCCTGACCCTGATGGACCTCCGGACCCTTTTGGGCCTAACGGTCCAGGACCACCTCCTGAACCTCCTGGTTTGCCTTCAGTTCGAGGATCACAACGCGATTCAGCAGATGATGTCTCCACAGCGGCTTACACTGCGGAAGAAGTACCGAGAATGTCAAGACGAGAGGCTGACAAAGTCTATGTTAGCCCATGGCCAAAGCAACAGAATCTTGGGGTTTGGCAATCAGATCTCATCAAGAGTGTTGTTCTTTCGGCAAATGACGGGGATAAAGCCGCATGGGAAGCATGGCTACAGCCGGCTATTCGACCAAATCCTGACATCGAGCTGTTGAATGACAGTGGGGGGCAACGGTATCAGTCCATCGACGCCAAGTTGTCAATTGCATTGTCAAACGTGATAGCCCAAGCCGGTGATGTTGCTCGTCATGTAGCGATCAAATTGAGATTGAGAACACAAAGTCATAGCCGAAGAGGAACCTACGTCATGGGACGGGAAATCTTGGCTATGATTCTGGAGCACTTCAGAACCCCAGGTCAACGAGAAACATCCTTCACCATGGAACACATCGTATCGATGAAGTATCTCGGTGACTCGAACCTAGAAGTGTTCTACGAGAAATGGATGGAGATGGTATCAAACATGATGCCGGATGACGTACCTCCTGATGATTGGCTTCGTGACGCTCTATACAAGAAGATTCGAAATTCGAGTCTTATGATGTTCGACATCAAGCAGTACGAGTCATGGATGGAAGGAGACCAAAGACGAAATTATCGCTACCTGTTGGATGTCATCGAAAGGCACATCTCCAGAATCAGAGAGGACAAGCATGTGGCAGCCAGAGAGAAGTATGCGAGAGACTTTGCAGGCGGCGGCAAACCTTCAGCTCCTGCTCCGAACCCAACTGCCGCGAAGCCTAAAGCTACTCCCAAGGAGAAGGCAGCGCCCAAGGCGAAGGCCAAGGCCGATGCAGCTCCAGTTCTACCATCACCTCAGCCTAAACAGCATGCGAAAGGAAAAGGAAAAGGTCAAGGGAAAGGGAAGGATCGAGCAAACAGCCGAAGTACCAGCCCCAGATCCAAGAAGAAGATCCCATGCCATTTCCATTTCATCAAGAAGTCATGCAGAAAGGGCAAAGATTGTGAATACAGTCATGATCAAAAGGTGTTCGAGGCGAATAAGAACGCAAAAGGGAATGGTCGGAAGCCAGGAACTCCAAGAAGTCAATCTCCGGCAAACAAGACCAAGAAGATTGATGAACCATGCTGGCATTGGGCCAAGGGCAAGTGTCGGTATGGAGACAAATGCAACAAACGCCACGATCCTCATCTATTTAACACTGCTCCCAACACCGAAGCACCAAGCTCAAAGGCTACTCCTGCACTTGTCCATGATTGGAGCGATGATGAAGAGACGTTCCATAAGATTGCATCGAACGTGGTCAAGAAGAGGGTCAGATTTGATGAGTCTAAGACTCACGTTCAAACTTACGTAAAGAAGGACTTCGTGAAGTGCAATCGGAAATCTCAGACTGTCTCCAAAGGGCATGGCAAAGTTGGAAAGCCCACTGATCAGATAAGGAAAGATGAGCAATGGTCTTATTCATGCAGGTTAGCTTCGAGCCGAGGGAAAGCAATGGCTATTCTGATCGATGAGAAGGGTGAACACAGTGACATTGATGAAGTCCTGGTCATAGTCGGCCCTAGCATGGACATCCTGATCAGACTCGACGTCGAGGACGGTGAGGTGTCCAGGGAAGTTTTTGTGGAAAACTATGTTCAGCATATTGAAGGTCGATATGGTAAAAGGGGCAACACAATGTGTATCACTGTTCCTGTTGAAGAGAGAGATAAGAGATTCATATTGGATTCTGGAAGTGGCCATGATCTCATTTCATCCACACGAATAAGTAGAATGGATCTCCCAACATACGATGACAAGGTCGTCAACTTCCATACAGCAAATGGGGTAACGTGTTCGACCAAACGTTCAAGCATCAAGTTCGAGGCATTTAGCGAACCAGCAGAAGCTCACATCTTGGAGGACACACCCTCCGTG